CTCGAGTACCATCGTAACAGTTTTTAATATTTTTTTTTTATAATATCTCTTAACTCTCCCTCCCTCCGCCACTAGCGCCAATATTAAACAAGCTATCTTCCACCGCCCCGTGTCTCCAACACTATCCCCCAACCCTTACCTTCCGTGCCTTATCCATGGCCACTGGAGATGTAACTGGAGCCTTCCATAATGTTGACACCCTAATGTCTATAGTCCGAGCCCTCCATCCCACTGCCTCCCTCCATCCCCATCCCACTGCCTCTCTTCCTTCAGCCCCATCCCACATCCTCCCATCAGCCCTATCCCACTGCCTCCCTCCCTTCAGCCCTATCCCACTGCCTCCCTCCCTTCATCTCTATCACACTTCCACAAACGTTCCCATTACCTCTCTTGCTTAAACCTTCAACAACCCATAATATTCACTTGGAAACAAGACTTCTAAAACGATAACAATAGACCATTGTGCGCTAGTGGGCTTTCTTGCAACGGCGGGAGAGAGGCAGCAGTAAACAGGCGGAGGAAGAAGCTCTTCACTTCAACAACGATCTATCTGGTGAAGAAGTCAAATGAAATATAAAAGTTAGCCTGGTAAGTCTTCTCGCGTTGTGAGTGGATGTCTCCTCTACACAAAATATCCTTCAGCAGCGTCAACAATATATGTTCACGGGAAAATTAATGTGAGGAGTATAACGTACGCCAATACGGTGCCATTTGACTTTCCTGGACACTGGCCCCAATATTATATATAAGTCTGGCCCCCCAGTATTGACGTATATTTCAAAATACAGTGTCATTTTACTTTTTTTCGACACCATGTATGCTGGTGAATGTGTCTTGTACAGTGGCCAGTATATTATACATGAGAGAGAGAGAGAGAGAGAGAGAGAGAGAGAGAGAGAGAGAGAGAGAGAGAGAGAGAGAGAGAGAGAGAGAGAGAGAGAGAGTGAGTCAAAACCTTGACCCAGTGTCGAGGCGGGAAGCTGCGCGACCTTGAATAAACAGTAAACACCACACCTGCCAAAGGTCCCCAGACGCATATAGCCAGTCACTTCTTCCTTGGTGTCCGCTGGTCCAAGGAATGTGAACCTAGACGGAGCCACGAGCTTCATTGTTGTACCCTCGACGCTTCTGACGGCGTGACTGGGACTAATGTAGATAACGTGCAAACAATTATTGACTCTGGAGACTTACTGTGTATGCAAAATGCTGATTAGTAAGAGAAGTGTCGAGGGCAAGGGCGTCTCACCTCGGGCCCTGGTGTTGGTGGTGGTGATGATAAGATGATAACAGCCTGAACAATAATAATAATAATAACTGATATGTGTATAAAGAAACATTTATTGTATTTATGTATTAATATACTAATACAAGGTGATTAGTTAGCTTAGTTCATTGATTATGCACCCCATACCCATCCTGTGGGCGGTAGTGGAAAGGGTTACAGAGGCACATAATGGGCTCAGGGACTGAACCCCACAATTCATTTAGCTAAGCAAGTTACAATCTTGATGAGCTAGTTACAAAATTTAATAAACATTGCCACATCAACAATGGGTTCGAGATTGACCACAAGTACAGTTTCTAAATTAAGCAACTTACATATGTGGAGAGCTAGTGTCAAAATTGATATGTTTGTCCTGCACACCGCCCCTCCATCCAGTGAGCAGCGGTGGATAGGTTACAATCACTCAGTTACTACCTACAGTTAGCAAACTGCGGATATTTGGCTAAAATATTCTGGTAGCAGATCATGTTGAATGAAATATTTACACATTGTGGAACATTGGTTATAGAATTGTCTCTGAATTCACGTATCTTTTGGCACTCCATCACATAGTGACGGAGGGTGTGCGAATAAGTCAACAAGGTGATTAGATGCACGTTTGTCAAGCTACAATATTAACATATCATTTCTGGCCCAAAGATAAGAGTAGAGGTTATTTACAGATACCATAAGGCCTGTAAAGGCCTCATGCAACCGTGGCGTTATCTTTAAAGTTACGTATTGAGGTTGTTGATCTACGTCACCCTCGGCACTTTGTTTACTTCACCCAGTATAAGCCACAAAGGTAAGGTGATTCTGAAGAGAAGGCTCTAAGTCAATCCGATTATATTGCACGTGGAAAGGATGTGTGGGCAAGTAGTTGATTATAGGGTCCGGGTAGTACAGTTGGGTTCATTCTCGGCTTACTATCGAGAATCCCGGGTGGGACAGAAATGATTGGGCGCGTTTCTTATCACCTAAGCAGCTGTTCACCTAGCAGTAAATAGGCACCCAGGAGTCAGCTTGTTGTGGGGTTGCATCCTGGGGAGGGTCAATAGTTCGCCCTTGGGGGGGGGGGTGAGGCTCGATATAAACAATATATAGGTTTAATATATAAAGGTTTATATATATATAAACCTAACATGTATATATACACTCTTACTACCTGTCCCCTGACACAATGAACTATTATTATATGAGGCTACTCTTCCTGTCAACATCCGGTTTCCTTTATACACAATCCAATTTCGACTTGCAAATTAGGTGATTCTAGATTTTATTGATCGTAATAGGCTGCACGGTATGCAATGACTGTGCAGCATTCGACGACGACATTGATCAGTAATTTAATAATCAAGTAACATGATAATCATACCAGGGTTAGCTTACAGAGAGGCTCAAAAGTAACCTATTCCCCGTGGATATTTTCCTATCACTATTAGGAAGTTGGGGAATGCCCTTGGTTACATACGTATATCAGCACAATATTTACTCCCTAGTACTTATAATGGTATAGAACCCTGAACCTTGCTGTCATAGTTGTAGTGTTCCAATTGTGCTTCTCCACTCTTGACGTAGATCCACATATGCCCTTTTGATTGCACATTGACATTCTGAGTACAACTTAAAAACTCTTGGATCTCCAGTCAATCTCTCTTTTTATCCATAATTATATCACTTTAATCTGTGTTATTCCTCCATCTGTCCTCGACAGATTTGAATCTCTCTAATATTTAAGACACTAAGCTGTTTGTTATATTAATGGTGGTTATCCAAAATATCTTTATCCATAGATTTTCAATGTCTCTGTTCATCATTATTTATTAAAATATTCTTCCCTTTCAACTCGTGTATTCATCCGTATGCACGTGTTTGTGAAACACTTTGCAAAACTGGGCAGAAAAGTGGCAGTTGAAGTACAATTTTCATAAGTGCAAAGTTCTAAACTTGGGAAATCATAGTGGCGCAGTCTACCGGATGAAGGTACAGAATTGGGAAAATCAAGTTGCTTAAGAGGCTTCGTTGTCAAGACTGGCAGAGACCCCGAGAGATCCAGGGGTCATTGAGCGTAATAAAAGCCTGGGTTTATAACCAGAAGCGTCGGTAATAAATGCATAAACTTTGTCCTCCAGTTATATTTGACCCTGGCGAGGACCAGCTGACACGAAGCTGTCTAGTTCTGTTCACCATCCAGTTCTGTTCACCGTCCAGTTCTGTTCACCGTCCCGTTCTGTTTACCGTCTAGTTCTGTTCACCGTCTATTCTGTTCACCGTTCAACAGAGTGAACATAAAATCCCTCGAGAAAATTAAATGGCAGATAATTGTTGATAGCATGTAGCCTATATATCAGATTATCAATCACAGACGGAAATATATCAATATCTATGGATGTCTCTGTCCATAGCAGGAGGCCAGATGTTTGGGGCTAGCCTCACGCAACTTTCCAATATGAAATATGGGACGGGAAGGGATGAGTGTGTTTTAGGCTCGTTAGGGTTGAACCAAGCTCCACCGTTTAATAAATATCGACTCTATAACAACCCACTGAGATTTTCATTAGGTCTGAAATAAAATCAGGGCTAGTATTTTCCATTGAGTTTTGATGTTTACTTCCACTGTTTGCTTGCCCCGCATTTTCCCGGTTTATTTGAAAACAAGTAACGTGTATTCATTTGGGTTACAATATTACATTTTCTGAGACAGAGGCACAGAAATAGAGAGACAGATAAAGAGAGAATGTGGAGAAAGAGGGGGGGAAATGAGAGACGGGGTGGAGAGAGATGTATTGTCAGTTGTGGTGACAATAAACACAGATAGTAATAAAATATATATATATGGACGAATGTAGTATACAGAAGTTTGCAGGTGAAGCTTGGCGAGCACTGGTGTAACGGCGAGTCGGTGAGTTAAGTGTACGCTGAATATGGATGGTGTTGAAGATGTGTGGTAACTCTCAAGCTTCTGTACTGAACCACTCTTGGAGTTTAGACTGATGATTGATTGATCACCGGTACCGCCAGGTACCCCATTAAGTACCCAGATTTATAAAAGAGAATGTTTGGTTTAATAATGTTGTTAGTTCTGTGACCCTCAACCTTTCCCCAGCTTGATAAAATCAAGGCAAATGGTGACACCTTTGACAAGCCACCAGCTTCCTATCTTCGTCGAGGCCACTAGAGATATAGTTTCCCTCAGGTAAATTAAGGTAATATTTTACTGTTGCAGGTCGGTAGTCACAGCTACAGTTTACTAATGCGTTCTTTAACCTAAAGCGTAATCATTATGCCTTATGATAAACAAGGTGTTTCGGCCTAATGACCTCTTAAGTAGGCGCTGGTCGTTAAGCCCAACAATTAGTGATGTATATAAGGACGCATGCATGAAACTATGAGCTCACCATAGCCCGTGCTACTTTGGAAATTTTTGTCCCAAGTAGCTGAATCTAAAAACAGTAACAACAACGTGAAATTACAGGTAGTAGTTAACATTGTCCCATAGGTTCACCCAGAGGGTTATTCCGGGCATGACGCTGTACGTAACACACGCTCCATAACTGCATTATTTATACTTGCATTCTTCATATAGATGTACCCTAGTCTCTTTTTTTTTAATGTCCTTGTCATGTGTTTACATGTAAAAGTATCTGAAGGTCGGTTAGTGCCTGGGCGTGTCTTCAGCCACCAATCACCGTCGATGCAAACTACAAATGCGAGGCTGATTGGCTGTTAGTGACAGTGGTACGATGACGTCGCTTAGACTCCCGGACAATGTTCTGTATTTGTAAACATTGCCAGGGATGAGACAGGGGATGGCGCCGTGCCAGGCACTCTATGGTTAATATCAGCACCTACGCCAACATGACACCATGAGTTGAGTCTTAGTAGTAAAAGTGGTGGTGGCGGTGAAGTGTGTGTGACGTACCCACTGTGACTTGCTCTGGACAGACAATGCTGTAAATGAGAAGACTTGTAAATGGTCCTTTCCTGGTATGCAATAGCGTTTTTAATTATAAATTGTTGACAATAGTGCGTAGAACATTTAAAATATGTCCCATGTTCAAAACTTCTATGTTTTGAATGTGTTCTAGTGAGCCTACTGTCTAATTCTGGAATTATATAGTGACTTTATGGTATATCTTATGCTTGATTATAAAGCTATCAGTGTTAATCCAAGGATTAAGTGGTTATATCATGGATGTATTTTGATAATCTTGTGTTTAAGGTACTAAAACTCAATAGTTTGTTATATATAGCTAAATTGAGTACATTGAACAACAGGCCTATGTATGATTCCAAACTATATATATCAAATAAGGCTGTTAAGCTAGGTTTGTTACGAATGTTTCCCATAATGTTTGTATATATCAACCCTATTAACACGTGTAGTTTATATACCATTCCTTCCCCTCATCCCATCCCAAATCCCTGACCCCTTCCCAGTGCTATATAGTCGTAAGGGCTTGGCGCTTTCTCCTCATAGTTCCCTTCCCTAGTTCCCATTTCTTCCCTTCCTTCCCTGTCTTCACTCTGCTTGGTGATGGTTTGTCTTAGCCTGAGGATGAGATAAAATGTTAGATAATTGCTCAGTATTTTTTAAAATGGTGTTTGCTGTTTGACAGTTCCAGTAATGCTAAGTTATGGCTTAAAAAAAAAAATTTTATGTAAATGAACTTTCCGGTTGCATTCTAGGACTGGAGTCGGTATGCTAGCATTAGTATGTCTTGATAAGGAGCAGCTGTCCTTACAGTGCCAGATCCTAACAAAGGAGCAGTAGGCTCTTGACTTGGGCAGTAACTGCTCAGAAAGGTGGTTTTAATGACAGTAAACCAGGTACAGTACTGCAAGCCTGGTTTTTTAAATGGTACAGTACTGTATACAGTATATATTTTTTCAAGATATATTAAAAAGTTATTCTTGATACATTTGTTGACATCATGTACATAATGCTTTTATTATTAGGTTGGAAACTATAGGCTGGTGGAAACCTGTAGGCATTAACAAACTTTGGGTATATGAGCTGCTGTTACTCAGTTCTAAGGGGTTAGAGTTTATGCCTAAAGGGGTTAGGTTTAGTCGTGTTCGTCTAATAGTACACTATCTCGCAGCATAGTTTGTTGCACCTGGGATTCGAGTATAGGTGAGTGTTCTATCTTGTGGTAGTAAGGTTTGGGTGAAGTATGTGTATAAACTCTAGTACTCCATGAGTGAATTATATTGTTCAAATGCTAAAGATATGATATGCTACTTGAAACATAAATTTATACTTGGGTAGTCATTAATGAAATGTTGAAAAATGTATCCTAATTATGTTACCCCAGTTTACAATTGTAGAGCTTAATGTTTAGGGATTCATTACCTACCATAAGTACCTTGTTGAAAAATTTGATGGACTGTTGAAGGAAATAAAAATAGGCACAATAATTTTATTAACAGCTATTTCTTGATAAGCCAAGATTTGAAAATATCTAGACAATTGAGTTGCCTTGTTACCTTACTTTTAATTGGAATAGAAATAAAAATTTATAGATTTATTATTTTGATATTTAATTTTTTCCAGAATAATTTGTATACTATAATGGCTTCTGGAGGCAGCAGCTTGACTCAGTGGCGTCTATGGACACAACTTCGTGACTATATTGCCCGCACAACTACACTGACAGCTCTTCAGAGAGACCTCCCACAAGTCATTAAGAAATTTAAAGGAGGAATATTGATTGAAACGGAAGCCAATCTTAAATCGGGAGTGAATAAGTTCGAAGGTGAAAATGGAAACGAGAAAGAAATCGTTGTTAAACCTGTAGGTTAGTTTCAAAGATGTTTTCTGAATTTGATGTACAAATTTACTATACCTTTCATGTATGTCTGGAATGTTTACCTAGAGAATGCTAAACACCCTAAAACTAGTGAACAGTGGTACTGTACATCTGTTTACGAATTTAATCCTTTCCCAGAGACGGTTTGTAAACTCAAAATTCGTAAACCGAAACAAATTTTCCCATAGGAAATGATGTAAATTTAATTAATATAAATTCAATTAATGTAAATTTAATTAATTTTTTAAATTTAATGATATAATTTATATAATTACTTTATGTTCAGAAACAAAAAAAAAACAAAAAAGCAATTAAATTCTTTACAAAGAATTCAAGTGCGATCGTCACTAGGTGGGAAGCACTGGTAAAATGAAGCGCACTTCATTCGTGCCACCAGGAACCACCCGCACATTCAGCCTTTATGTGTATCAACAAACTCCCCAAGGGAGGCAAGTCTAGTTCTTAATCCCTGACAAATGTGGCAAAAGTACAAAAAAAATTATTTTGGGTGATTGTATGATATATGACACACACTTACAAAACATACCTGAATTTATCTGAATTTACCTGAGAGCCACTCTCTCTCTCTCTCTAGTGGCATGTACAGGGATAGGAAACTGGTGGCTTGTCAAAGGTCCTCCCATTATTCCTGATGATTTTTTCTAACTGTACTTTGAACTGAAGTACAGTTCATAGTTTGATATAGAAAAGTAAAAAAGTCTTGACATTCATGGTTTTAGCAGGAAGGTGGTTTCAACGGTTTATTATCCCTTGAGTGAAGAAAAATCTTTTGTTTTCTGTTCTTTACTGTGGCTTGAGCTTGAAGCTATTGCCCCTTGTATGTGTTAGATTTGATATTGTAAAGCAGTAGTCCACATTAATTTCCTCCAACTTGTTCAGTATTCTAAAAGTCTCGATGAGATCAGCCCTATTATGTCTGATTTGCATTGTTGTTAGTCCTATGACCCTCAAATGTTCCTGGTTTGTGAGTTAACCTTGGTTCTAGGATGATTTTTGTTGCTTTGTGTTAAACTTGTGTAGAACAAAGCACATATGTCCTTTGGAAGATTTTCCAGATTTTGGGTTATATTCTAGTAGTTCAGATTTTGGGTTGTGCCAGTATTTCTAGAGCTTAGTTGGCTTCTTTTACTGCAGCTTCCACTTATTATGTAACTTTTAATGATCCGTGGGTCATATCTCCTACGTTTTTTCATCATCAATCTGTTGTAAGGTAGTATTGTTGATGTTTGTTGTGATGTGTATTGCTATGCCCTACATGCAGGATTTTGCATTTTTCAATATTGAAAAACATTTACCAGTCATCTTACCATTTGTGGAACTCGTGTAGTTTTCTTTGTAAGGCATCAGTATTGTTTTTGCTTCTTACTTTACCATAGCTCTTAGTGTCATATGCAAATGTGACGTGGTTTGGAGTATTCTCATCTGTCATGAATATATTGGAAAAAATTGGCAGGTCCCCAGATTGAACCTTGAGGTTCAATCCTGTTCCTAACTATTCATAATTTATATCCACCACACGACTGCTATAGCTCTCACATGTGACATATAATATATGCCACATGTGGCGTAATGTATTTTAAACTTTTAAGAAATAAATTTAAACAAAATTTTGAAACTTAAATTACTGAATGATTTGGAGGATGTGGATCCAGACAATTTCTTCAAAAGGTCTAATGTAACACAAACAAGGAGCAACAGTTTCATGCTAAAAAATCCACTACTGTATGTAGTACTAAGAACAGGAGATGCTTTTTCTGCCCCCGGGTTATAAACTCTTGGAACCACCCACCCACCGAAGCTGTGAGGCCAAGACTTTGTTGAATTTCAAAATCCAACTGGAAAATATTATCTAGGCAAATGGGGGGGTGGGGGACCGTCGACAAGCTGCTGGTTTCCTGTCCGTGTCGAGACCACTATAGTGACAGTGGCCGTCAGGTAAATTCATGTAATACAAGTAAGTATATGTGAGACTGCATTGTGCTGCTGAAGTCTGTTAATCTGTTAATCTGCCGAATCTTGCAAGTTAAGCTTGCAAGATTCAGATGTTAATAAACTGTGCATTTACAGAGGCTTGTTATTGGCTTTTTGACGAGTACAACTCGAGCACAACCTCTGATGTTGCATGTGGCTGTTACATTGAATTAATATTGCGGCCAAATTTAAATTCTGCTCTCTTTACCCGGAATTATGATGAATGTAATACTAAAAGTAAAAAATACAATTTTGTTAATTTTCTCATACAGTACTGTAGCAAACTTTATTTCTAGGAAAAATTTTAAATGCTTGCATCATACTGTATTGTATTCTCTTTTTACCATATGTTCCATAGTGTGTTGATGTAGCACATTCTTTTTCAGATATTAATATTGAAAACTCGTCAGAACTTCAGAAGGTATTGAAAACGGTTAATTCTTACATTCCATTGTATTTTTCTCAAGTAAGATTGAATTTTTCAAAAAATGAAGAACCTAAGAGTCCACAAAAATGTTTACCAAAGTGGCAGGTAAAAAAGGACACAATCTCAAAGGTATGCTTTGTATTATTTTGTTAAATTTTACCACCTGTTATTAACTTAATAATTGATGCTGAAATATTAAACTTTACCTTATTATGAAACCTTGAAAATCTTGACAATTGTTTAGGATTTGTGTACATTTTTAACTTTCAAATACAGGACTGTACTGTCTTATGCTTTATTTTTTATTTTAGCAAGTTTTTTTTAATAAAACTGAAGAATAAAATGCCTACTTTTTAATGATAAATAAATGAGCATAATATTTTTAATGATTATGCTCATTCATTATACTGTGTAAACAATGACTTTTCCAAGTGTTGAAATATATAAGAAAGTTATCTAAACTTAATTTTGATCTAACTCGTGGAAATTTTATCCATTGGGCATTTATCTCTTGGATTTTTTGCCACCTGAATTCTCCTTGCAAGTAATTCTCAAATCTGTAAATTCTCAAATCTGTATTTTCTACAATTTTAATTTTCAAAATGATACTAATGCTAACAAGTACAGCACTTCTGAGCCAGTCTCCTCACTCCCCATACTTTAATCACTTTTCTTTATTAATTTAGTCTTTTTGTCCCATTTAAAATATTTCTTTCCTTTATCTGACCCAACTACATTTACGAACAGACATTTTCTACTTGCAAAGATTTAAATATCAAAAGAAAACGGCTAAATATTTTTTTGAGTAAACAGAGATGACAATGCACGAAGCAGAGCGAGTCTGGCATAGCTTCAGTACTACAGAGCCACATAAAGAAAAAACTACATTGCTAACTAAATTGTACAATTTATATTACAATATATTAAACATTTCTAAAAGAAAAATATCATTAGTTTCTATTTGCTATGAAAGGTAAAATAATAATAAACAAATATTCAAAATATGATTGATAAATATTAACTTGTCTAGTTGTGGATTTTCACACAATGATAATTTGGATACCCAATTTGAACTTTTCATACATTGTTCTTATAACAAAAGCCTTCATAATTTTCAAGGTTACATTGTACTGTACAGTACATATTTTTGACCCCAAACTGCAGTCTTGATAAGTCATTGGTGGTTATTTTTCGTTTTCTCACTTTCGGTGGTTCCCTTTAGGGGGTATAAAAGGAGTATTCCCATGATCTGAAATAAGTTTACAATGTTAATTCAAAGTTCAAGATTACAAGGGTTTTAAATTTAACTTTACTGTTGATATTGTTGTGGAGATATAAATTAGTCATAGCAATACGTACACCTGTACTGTACTGTCAGTTTTCCATAGATTAGCCATCAGAAACTGTTTTATAGCATTTTTCATTCTTTGGCACCTAACTCTTAAATTTATCACTGTAAATTTTAGTACTGTGATATGTATATTTATTTGTTAAGCTTAAGAACATGCATGCATGAACTTCAGCATTTAAGCGAGAACACTCTGATACCATTGCACAATGTGACGTAAACCATCAGATGTGTAATGCATAATAAAGTATTTGTAATGCACTAATTGTCAGGTTTATTGTAGTGAACTTGACTGTATAAAAATAATTCAAAATATTGGAATAGGATTAGCTTTCTTGATATTGTATTTTTATTCTTGTAATCATTAGTAATTACCGACGTTGAAAATCTTTCAGGCAAGCATTGATGCTCGAACTCGGTTTTTAGTGAAAGGTCTAGGTGACCACTTGACAGAGGGAGGACGTCTAAGGAGACTTGAAGACCTTTGCAATCACCTGAGGCAACATCCACAAGCTAAAGGGGTTGCTGTTAAGGTAAGGTTATTAGGATATGGGCACCATTCAACTACTGCATATTCCAGCTTTGGTCTTACAAACATTGTGAACAGTTTCTTTAGTATTTCACCATCCATGTTTTTAAAAGCAATTTTTAAATTGGAAAGCGTAGCATAGGCTCCTAACACTGTTCTTTATGTGGTCCTCAGGTGACAGTTTTCTATCAGGAACCACTCCTAGATCTTTTTTTTTTTAACAGAATTTTAGAAATGTTTTCACATAATTTGTAGTGTGTGTGTGTGTGGTCTGTTTTCTCTTATTCCACATTTCATAATATGACATTTATTTACATTAAAATCTATTTGCCAAGTGGTGCTCTGTACACTTATCTTGTCCAGGTCTTCTTGAAGGGTATGACAATCATTAAAGTGCAGACGAGTCGCTAACATACCTGATACCTGATCAACCAGGCTGTGAGCAGCCGCATCCAACAGCCTGGTTGATCAGTCCAGCAACCAGGATGCCTGGTCGACGACCGGGCCGCGGGGATGCTAAGCCCTGGAAGCACCTCAAGGTAACCTCAAGGTAACATGGCTGAAGATATAATGACCAAACCACACATCAGAAGATGGAGAAACGAAAATGTTTCTGGATTGTTATTAAGTCATGTAACACAGGATTTAATAATGGTCCAGGACGGACTGAAATGACTCTATCTTCTGATGTGGTTTGATCATTACAATCATTTAAGTTTCTTCGCTAGTATCTTAGCATCATCAGCAAAAATGTTCATATAATTTTGTATTCCTTCTGGTAGGTCATTTATGTAGATAATAACATTACCAGTGCAAGAACTGAACCCGTGTTACTCCATTTGTGACATTTCTCCAGTCCAATACATTTCCTCTGATTACTACTCACATTTTTCTGTCAAAAATTTTCATCCATATTAGAAACCTCTGTTATGTATGTTTCAGTTTCTAGTACAACCTCTTATGTGGGACTCGGTTGAAAGCATGTTTTTGGGCCAGATAAATGCAGTCAACCCAACCACTTCTTTCCTGTAAAATCTCTGTGGCTCTATCATAGAAACTAAGTAGATTAGTTACGCAGGATCTTGCAGATCGAAAACTGTAATGTCTGTTGTTATGTCATTTCTCTCCATGTGTATATCACTATACGGAGCTAGTATCAATATTATTAATAAATTACAATTTCAGGAAGAAATTAATTATAATTTTCTTAATTATGATACAGTACTTCTTGTTACAAGTATTGGCTGACAGTTTTCTCATTATTTCTCAGAGAGGCGGCATTCAACGATTACTGAGAATTTTAGAGAGGACAACTGACAGTTTCATAGAATGTGAGGCTCGTGAAGCTCTTGCCTTGTTAGGTTACACATCACCTGTTAAAGGTCATGGCATTAGACTCCTGACTATTGATGGTGGGGGTGTGAGGTATGTACATGAGTTTCCTTTGTAAATTTTCTCTTCATTTTCTTTTCCCTATTGAAATATTTTCTCTGGAATGTTGTAAATCTCAAGATTGCACTCTCTTCAACATCAGACTGGCAAAACTGTATTTTCTGCCCAAACACCAAGAACCTTCAAATAGTGATTTATGCTGAAGGCTTGAAGCTACTCAGTCATTAAATACTCAGTAAGATTTGTCTCCTTATAATGTACTTTGCATAATGTATCCATTTCAGAGGTTTGGTTGCTTTGGAAGTGTTGAGAAAAATTGAGGCAGAGGCTGGCCATCCTATTCATGAACTCTTTGATTACATTTGTGGTGTGTCTACAGGCGCTATTCTTGCAGTCATGATGGGTAAGATTTAAGCACTTTTTCTCTTTTGCTCATTGTTGCCGTGATGCATTTAGAGAGTGGCATGTTAATTTTTCAGCCTTGTAGGCATTGTGGGATAGCTTTTACAAATTATGCTTTATATTTTTATAGATTATAACTAAAGTTAGCATGTTTTGATTGCTTCATAATATTGTATGTATTCTAAATATGCTGGCATAGGAGAATGGGAAAAACCTTTCTTGGTTGCAATTATGGAATCAAATCATATCTCGATTAAATTTATAGACATCACAAAAATGTTTTCTATTCATATTGCTTCGATGAACTAGTTTTTCATACATGACTCTCATTATTATTTAACAATAATAAAAGCTTTTCTTTAAGGTCCCAGTAATTCTTCTCATTTTGCAAAGTACTGTACAATGTTAGTGGAAAACCAGCAATGATTTTTTTTTTTTTTTTTTTATACAGGTGTACAACGACTTAATTTGGATAAGTGTGAAACATTGTACAGGGAGCTGAGCACGCAAATCTTTACACAGACAACCTTCAAAGGGGCTACTAGTCTCTTTATGCGTAATTCATACTATGACTCTAACTCTTGGACAGACATTCTCAAAGAAAACATGGGAACCAGAGCTCTCATTGAAACAGCACGAGATACAGATTCCCCAAAGGTAAGAACATAGCATTCATTTAAATGGCTGTCTCTTTTGCATTTTAGATTTCCAAAGGCATTATCATTTTTTCTCCTTAATTAGCATTTACAAGTTAAACACATAAAAGGTACTTTTGACAATATGGGTTTACATAGGTATAATACATAGCATACTTTAGTCAACTGATACTAGTCTGTCTTGATGTCTTAAAAAATGTCAGATGTACATAATTTTGTAATTTCAGAAGCTACTAGCGTGACAAACACGATTAGACTTGAAGCTTAACCTTTGATCACTAAATGTTGAACATAATTAAATGGTCATTAATACTCAATGTCTTAGTTTGTCTTTCTGTTACTCTGATGGAAAGGAAGGTTGACAAATAACTTTAGAGAAACTAGAAAAGACAGGCTTATGTACACAAATAATAAAAAGGAAGAAATTTGTAAAATTAAACATATAAATGATAGCTAGGATAAGTATAAATGAGAAGAGGCATAGGGTAATGGAAATGTATGGTTCAGGAAATCTATTTAAATAAGAACATTTTAGTAAATGCAATTTATTTTTCATCATTTATTGCAACATGGTAGATAATTGATGATTAGCTCGTTCCCAATTTAGTGAGTGTTATATTTCCAGATCTGCCTTGTTGCTACATCCGCCAACACGAACAGGATCCAAGCATACCTCTTCCGCAATTACAATCTTCCTTACAGAGTCACTAGCCATTATCAGGGAACATCTTCTCCCTTGCTATGGGAAGCAGTGAGAGCTTCTGCAGCAGCCCCTGGATATTTCTCAGAGTTCAGAATAGGAGATCTAATTTTGTTGGCAAGTATGACTGCTGTATTGTTGCAAAAATAACCATTCATTGTACTAAATCTATGCATTTGGTCCTCAGTCTGCACGAAGGATGTGCATCTGAAAAACTTCCATAAAGCATATTTACTCAGTGCAATTAATTATGTTTGATAGTAGTTGGTGTGTGTTCAAGAGATCTCCAACAGTCTTATTGTTTTTTTTTCTGGATAAAGCACACTACCACTTATCAGCCATGAATATAGGGTTGTACATTATAACTCCAGAATGCTTTGAAAGTGCCATAATACAAAAATGTTATTCAAAAGTACATGAATTAAAGGTTCAAGCACCACCGCCACTACAGTTTGTTCAAGCTTTGTACACCAACAAAGTAATAAATAAAAATAAATTACATGTAGATCACACACTTTATTTTATTGCAAAATTTTATGTAGAAGCAAATTTGCATTTTCTGAACATATGCCTGTACTTGCCTAGTGTTAATGGTTATATTTTTTGTTTTAGGATGGAGGGTTATTTGTTAATAACCCAACTGCAATTGCTGTACATGAAGCCAAACAGCTGTGGCCAGATGTGGACCTTCAGTGTGTGGTATCCATAGGTACAGGGAGGCACGAGCCTATTGCAACTACAAGTGAGGCATCCATCAGCTGGGCTACACGCATCAGAACTGTTCTAAATAGTGCAACTGATACTGAGGGTTAGTGTTGTAGTTTAATATTCTTTTCAATCTTATAAACTAGTTTACTCGCGTTGTATTGAATTAAAGGCTTAATTCATCCTTGGTGAATATAGGCACAATACTGTGGAAGAAGTGCAGGTAAGAATCTTGTGTGCACTGTAATATTGTTTTGGTTACACCATTATGAGTCTAATTGTCGGGAGCATCTTTCCTTATTACTTTATTTAGAACAAATATTAAAATGATACCATCAACTTTGTGATGTGTAGGATGATTTAAAAAAGATGCCAAATCTAACTCTTGGTTCTGGTGTTAGAAATTAATTAGGGGTACCATTGCCAATTACCGACCAGTCTCTGGTTGCCCGTGCCTGAAATGTTTTGTATTCCAGAACTGTGCATGTTTCTTATGAAAGTCATAAGAATATTTTTCAAGTTGAAAGGCATTATATTTTATTTATACTACCCTTCTAAGAACCATCACCCTTTGCACGCAGAGTTGAATAAAATGAATTTGAAAACTAAGCAAACTACTTGAGCCAGTAGCTCTGCAAGCCAAAATTATTTAGTTGTGAGCCAAAATGATAATCACTACAGAAATGGTGCAAGTGTAGAGAGAAAAAGATACAAATTACAGTAAAAAGCTCATACATAGATAAATCCACAGATCAAGTTGAAATACTAGCACATAAGCACCTACTTACCTTGTGATGATTTCGGGGCCGAGTGTCCCCGCGACCCAGTCCTGAACCACGCCTCCCACAAATACATCTTGAGTGCATCAACTTGTAAATACATACAGGGTATTATGCTAAAGAAATTTGTAGATATGGAAATTTATCCATGACCTACATTCTTCCAGCCATAAAAATTGTTTAAGGGGCAGAACCATTTGGATCAATGTGTTCTCACCCTAAATAAAAAGATGACGACATAGAATACTGTATTCAGAGTGTCTTCTAGGAAGGTTTTCCTCAGTAGCTTCCTGAGCTAATCACTGGTCCAGCCAAGCTTTAAGGAAATACACCAGACCTCTGAGACCCACCTTTGCCCACAATGTATGAGGTGAGGGAAGCCATACATTGTATGGGCAATCCCTCACCACAATTTATGAGGTGAGGAAGGCTTAGGGATCAGAGCTGAACCAAAAATGGAGACTTTAAATACCAAAACATAAAAGTGTAACAAAACAAGCGTGAAGAAAATTAGGTATCCATAGAAAAAAAAAGGCAAATGATCAGTTATGGGGTAAACACCCTAACTGTGATGCACATGACTGCCACAAAATAGCAGCCCAGATTACCAAGAGTGCTAGTCAGCCTGCCCCCCCTCCCCCTCTCCCACTTTCATGGTCACAGGATAAGGAGCACAGGACTTCTGACAGGTGCCAATGCTTTGTTATCCTTCCCATTTTCCTTCACACTTAATTCTGGAAGCTGCCCCTTACAGTAGTTCCCCTAGTTTTTACATTGGATAACTATGCTATAAACCCCTACACCAGGCCTCGTAGACTATTTTGACTCTGTGGTCTGGTTACCCAGGGTACGAGTTAGGAGAAGTGCTGGGTGCCCACTAAAAGAGGGAATTTCATGATTCAATGCTTATTTGTTTTCGTTTTAATTATTGAATACCAAATATGAAATACTTCGTAAATTTTGCTTAGAATATACTCTGACGTGTTTTGCTGTAATTTTCCTAATTTAGCCTCTTGTCATTAGGTGTGCATACTACAATGCATGATTTGTTGCCCGGCGATGTGTATTACCGGTTCAATCCATACCTCAGCGATGAAATTGGCCTAGATGAAATCGGGGAAGAGCGCTTAGGATTGATGATGGAGGATACTAGACTCTATCTTAGAAAGAATGAGATGAAGATCCAGGAAGCTGCCCGGTCTCTTAACACAACTAAAAGTCCGGTAGATCGTATTAAAGACTGGTACAAGTATCAACTTCAGCTATGGCCATCACCATAAGTTATATGTACAAGAATCTGTTCAAAAGTGATAAGATTCATCACATTGCTGTTGCTGCATCCTTAACATTGTAACACCTATATATATATATATATATATATATATATATATATATATATATATATATATATATATATGTTACATAATATTTTCTCTTATCCTTGCAAACACAACATAATGGTCCCTATGTGTTCCTTGTTACAAGGTGTAATAAAGTTGTTACATTTTGTTATAATCTTTTATGACGTATTAGAACTTTCTTACAACTTGCCTAACAATTGTTACAACTAATATAGTGTTACAACTTGTTTGAATGTTGCAGCAACGTTGCTGTTTCGTCGTGTGTTTGGCGGGATAGTATTGAACAAATTAAATATATAAGAAAGTATAATTTTGACAGTTTTAAAAGTATAGAATTTTAATATCACATTTTTATTTTAATTACTATTTACTGATTATTAATCTATACATTATAGTAATTTAATGTTAAAGATACCAAAAATGCCATTTCTCTTAATTCTTTAAAAGATGAGAAAACTTTCCTCGTGTGATAAATTGCTCTAATCGATTATTACTAGTCGACTGAAAAAAAATTTATATTTGGTTTATATATGTTTACAGTACAGTATACACATGAACCATATTATGAGAAATACGTTTGGTTACAAGTAAAAGTATTCATTTTCTAAATGTTTTAAGCATATTTGAATTTTCTAAAGAGAGAAATTTCCTTTTTTGATTATCTAAATATAACCTTCAAGAAAATTTTTATTTATTACCACTGTTCATTAAATTTTGATTCGTATTCAGTGTATACATACAGTATATCGTTAGAGGTTGTGACACTTCCCATAATTATGGTACGTATAATTACATATTGAGTGGCAAATTGGAATTTTTCAGGATTTGTGCATTGTGTATCTTGATGAGGTGAATATTTACAACTTCAGTTTGCTATATTATAAGCATTTTCCATGTTTAGGCAAATTGCTTTTTCACTCACTCTCCCACTCAAATGCCATATTTTTCCACATTCCGGACCAGCAAATATGTCAACGTGGATTTGCTATATCAGAAGTCTTACCATTATTTTCTGTTGCAAACAGTTGCAGAACTGGGACAATATTCTTTTATTGCATCGAGACTTGTGTTGAATCAGGTGCCATGCAAATGAGACTGTGCTGTATTTGTAAAAGTGTTAACCAACTACAGTACTCTACTGGAAACTTCACTCAAGCCTTATTACCTGTAGTGCAAACATAGTTGTAGTTTTATTATGTATTTAAATGGCATTTATTCTTTTTAGTTGTAGTAGCATCTTGGAAATAACTTACCAAATATGAATTTAAACACTAAAATTCCCTAAAATAAAACACACACACACGCATATATATAAATACATACATACATGCACTCTTCCCCGTCCCTCACAATTTGCCAGATATTTGAAACTATATTTGATATATTTGAAGCTTAGTAGTTGGAATCCTTGGTTACAATACTGTACTGTACCTTAAAATCTTATATCCGGTAAACAAGAGATTCTCAGGAAGTTGGTTAATATTTTACTCTCCTGTCCATTTATATTTTTGTATTATATAAATATATGCTGTAATAGGGTAATGTGAAATGTTTTAAATACAATGTCAATGGCTTTTGAAGTTATTATGTGATATTAATGAAGTTTAAAGATTACGAAGATTTAATTATAGGTGATATTACAGAAATTATTTTTTTTTTTTTACTAGTCAAATTATATGGAGTGAAACGAGAAATATTACTACATGGGAATTAGTTTTTCTTTTACATTGTAACAGGAGCCCAATGATTAAACAAAGCAGTTATTCAGCATTGAAAAAAATGTCAATATTAGATGTAAATAATATGATTTTATTCAGAGGATGTCAGTGTATCATGAATTAGAACACTTTAACCCTTGAAGTGCAGCTAGGATCTAAGGCGCTTCTCTGCCTGTGTGGAAAAAAAAAAAACTTGCACAATAAGTAGGTTTGGGTTTCGTGCACACTGTGATCAGCGAGTCAGTGTCATTTGGTCTGTGGACTGTGATGGTGTAATATTCCTGTCTTACCAAGTAGAGACCAGAGCTGTGGTGATCATGGTATAAACCCCATGTGTGTGTTTCGTTTGCTTTAGCTTACACAGTGTAGAATAATTCATTTTATTTATCCTGGCACAGCTCGAAGGCAATGTCTTCCAACTCGCCCCTTTGCTGCTATTCTGTCTGGTAATGTCATCCAGAAATATTCACACACCAGTGGGGAAAATGCCAAATTGTGATTTTTGGCAAATTGCCTTGCTGATGCCTATAGTAAGCAATTAACAAATATTGCAGTTTTTTTAATGGCCTAGGTTAACTAAATTATATCCACAGAGATGTATTATACAAATTATGCATTTATAGTTATAAGAACTGTTGGTAACTAAAATCAGCCTGTGATAATAGATGCAATTAAAGGGTTAAAGGTTATCAGGTTTAAAGAAGTAAGGATGAGGAAATTATAATTTCATATTAGGCTTGATGGGCTTGCAAATTGTTCAGGTTTTAATTATGTATAATGAGGAAAAATATTCCTTTTATTATGAATCACAAATTCCTTTATTTGAAGGAATGCTTCAATCGACAAAATTTTCTGTGAATAAACTTTAATATTGTAAAATTTTTAACTAATTATATATTTGTCTGGGAGGGCTTCTAAGGTGACTTCTTGTTTCTAGTTACCTGACGAGATCCACCAATTTCTATTGATGCAATGTGGGATTTGCCTTTTCAGTGGTTGTAGTTCTGCTTGTTGGCCTGCCATGACATTGGGCGTCCAGCTAGTTTGCACATCTGAAAGCCAGGGTTCCGATTCTAAGTACTTGCCATGTTTGGTTTTTCGGTAAATTGGGGAAAGTTTCATTTGGTTCTGCAGGTTTAGACCTGGTTGGTCCTAGTCTGGGATTAACAGTTGACTTCCATCACCCTTCTGTCTACATCCATGGATGCATGTTTCTGGCAGGCAGCGGAGAGTCCTTGGGTCATCCAGTGGTGACTTCAGTGGCTGTATGAGAGTTTGAACTTTGCCTGCATGGTGTGTCCTCTGAGCAGAGTTTGGCTTAGCGCTGTGCCGTTTTCTTCAGTTCTGACCCTTTCACTACCACTGGAACCTTAGGGTGTGAGCTTTATGGGTCCTTCAATGACTTCTGTTTCTACCAGTTTTCCCTTTGGCATTTTGGGATTCTGTCCCATGGCACCTTCCTTACCCCTGTGTGACCTCTTTTTAGATGATTCGGCTCTGAATTGAGAGTTTGTATACATCATTCGGCTAGCTGCTAAAGACCATTGGGTGGGCTCATGTAATGCACACAGCAAGGTCCACGAGTTCGTGGCAGTTTGGTATGCTCTGTGGCTGCAACTTCTCCAGGTGGGCTTTATAGTCCAGGTCCCCATAATTCATTGAATCGTGGGTGGTCAGTTTGGTCTCTAATTTTATGGTGCTGAATTCTGCAAATACCATACTGTAGCTTGTCTTCTGGGTTCTTGAGGTTTGGCGCTCTATGACTGCCTTTCCATGGCTGAACTGCCTCATGACAGAGTGGTTCATTCAGTTCGGGGGGGCGGGGTCTTATTTTCCAGGAATTGTTTGCGTTGCTGATTGTCTGTCTCGCTTTTCTTGGTTAGTGATCTAGTATTCTCTACGCCTTGCATATCTATAGAGGGGTCTAGTTTTGGCATCTGGTCCCCCAGTATGCTTACAATGATTGGCCATGCATGGATTGAACTGAGTGGAGCTGTCCAAATAACTAGGAACAAGAAGCCACTAAAGATGCACCAGGGAAAGGTGTTTTATTACATTCAATGGTGATTTTATTTTTAATTGTATGGATTATCATTTAATAAAAAAAAAAAGACTGAAATGTAAATTTAAGTGAAACAGACAGATAGGTCTTGAAGAATAGTGATAAATGTCAGGAAAAAAAGCACAAGGTAATAAAGGAAAACGGAATATAAAATTAATATGTGGAGATACTTTTGGTCATGGCTGCATACAGCCGTTGGTTCTAAAAAATTTTGCCATTGACTTCCTTTGTACCCCGATCAGTTTTGAGTACAAGTTGGTGCATATCTAAAATGTAATGTTTTAATTTATATACTTGTACTGTACTTGCATACTTGTACCGGTACTTGCAAGGTATACTGTATACCTTGAAAATATATACAGTATACCATTTGTTCACCTGGATTCTTTGGGGGGAGGGGTGTTTAACAGCATGTAAAAGATCCACTGAACAAAATTATTCGTATGTACAGTGTGTATTTGCATACCTAATAGCCAGAATTGCCTAATAAGCTGTATTTCATTGAAAAACTATATTTAAAAAATGAGCTTGTTTATTAATAGATGTTTAATGGCAAGACAACTAATTTTAAATTGATACTAATACTAACAAAGCAACCTGACCTAACTTAAACCTGCGTATTTATATCATTTCTGTATAACGTAGACAAAACTAAGCCTAGTAAGTTAATTAATTCATTGAATAATAAAACGAGTATAAGAGCAGACTTAAGTTCTAAGAGACATTTGGAAATATAAAAAATCACTCCGGTTGTGAAGCAATTTGGTCATTGTTTGAGCTTATTAGTATGGTTTTGGCAACTGGGTATGATATTTGTATCTACACACACCTTTTGTATATGTGTAAACATTTTAATAAACAGCATTACTATTAGATGCTTTTAAATGTAATTAGACCGAGGTACTAAGTCTCGCTTTGTTTTGATGGTATAAATGTACTGTACAGTATTTGCAACATGTTGCTCTCCCTAGCCCTAATATAGTAAATGTATGCTAATTCTGTCACTCAAAGATATGCAAACCCATTTCAGTAGTAAAGAGAAAATATTAATTTCTTGTAAACCTAACAGTTTATAGAATACTCCAGCAGCATGACCAAATTTGTAAAGAAATGTGGCTGCATTATTGATAAATCTAAACATTTTACCCCATAAATAAGGTTTCCATCATTCTTTTCCTCTCCTGCAAGAGCAGTTCTCATATTTTTCCTCGTTTATGATACTCGGCAGATAACTTTGTCATCCTATAGAATTCTTTGATGAA